AACCCACACAATGTCTAAGAAAGTAAATAAGAAAGAGTAAAACATTAATTTTCCTACAACAGGTCCTTCAAGCCTGACTTCGTCTTGGTGCGACAGCACGCTTATAGCATGGCACAGAATGAAGATTTCCGCAATATAATCATCGGGTTGCATTATGCCGGGATCCCCAGTGTCAACTCGCTGGAGTCCATTTACAACCTCTGTGACAAGCCATGGGCTGTGAGTAGACATTTCGTTTTGTACAGTGTTTTTCTTTAAAAAATATATATATAAATCCTGTCAATGTGAGGAGCATTAAAACTTCCTATCGGTTTCTGGGGCTACTTCACAGTGTGACAAGATTGAACATATGCCGTTTTTTTTTTTTTTTTTTTGTAAAAATGCAGTTAGCATTATTCTGTAGTATTTATAATTTACGGTTTATAAAAACAGTTGAAAATTGTGGAATGTCCCCATTAGCTGAGTGAACGTTTGTGTGTGTCTGCATGTGTGTTTCATTCTTATAAAATGAATCTGATGTCAAGCTGGATTCTAGATTCGTGTCTCTAGTTTCTATGGCAACAGGAGGAAGGTGTTTTCTGTGTTTCCGAGACGGTAGCTGACCGCTGAGTGTGTGTTTCATAAACTCAGTGCTTCATGCACAGTAAATGGAAATGTGTGTGTGTGTGTGTTTGTAGGCCTGACACACAGAAGGTTCCGTCCACTCCTCCTCCTCCTCCCCCTCCTCCGCCCCCCCCTCCCGAGCCTGTGGCCCCGCCGGAGCCGGAGGAGGAGATTCTGGGCTCTGATGATGAAGAGCAGGAGGATCCGGCCGACTACTGCAAAGGTACCGCACACATCTGTCTGTCTGTCTGTCTGCCTCTGTCTGTCTGTCTGTCTCTTGTCTGTCTGTCTGTCTATCTGTCTCTCCGTCTGTCTGTGTGTCGGTCTCTTGTCTCTCCGTCTGTCTGTCTGCCTCTGTCTGTCTGTCTCTCCGTCTGTCTGTCTGTCTCTTTGTCTGTCTGTCTGTCTCTGTCTGTCCGTCTGTCTGTCTCTGTCTGTCTGCCTGTCTCTCTCTCTGTCTGTTTCTGTCTGTCTGTCTGTCAGGAGAGCTTCCAGGTTTCTGTCTATGTTGAGTAAAAGCTGGACTGACACTGACCTGATTTATGCCTCGTTCTTCACAGGTGCGTGAGTTTCCAGCCTCCAATAATTTTTTTGTCATCACTGAATGTGATATGTTTAGTCTTGTAGTTTTAGTAGCAGAAATAGTTCTCAGTAGTAGTTTGTCGTCTTCTCCTCTTGAGTGGAAATCTAGTAATGCCAGTAGTACTCTTGGCTATATTCACATCAATGACACAAACATACCACGGTAAAATATACAAGAAAAAAATACAAAGTGAAAGAAACCTGTGCTGGAAAAGGAGGAATCAAACTCAACCAATGGAATCAAGTGTTAAAACAGACTTTAATAAACGTGAGTGCTGGTCCGAGGACACCAGTCGTACAGTTGAGCTGAAGGAAACATTAGCCGGATTCTCCTGTTTCTACAAGTACCATCAGTCGACTGTATCGTGTTTCTCTCGTGCTGCAGGAGGTTACCATCCCGTGAAGATCGGAGACCTGTTTAACGGCAGATACCATGTCGTCCGCAAGCTGGGCTGGGGTCACTTCTCCACCGTCTGGCTGTGCTGGGATATTCAGTGAGTGACCGCGTCACCAGTGCAGGCAGTGTGTGTGTGTTACTCGGTGTGAGTATAACCTGTGTGTTTGTGTGTGTTAACAGAGCGAAGCGTTTTGTTGCGATGAAGGTCGTAAAGAG